TTCTTGTATGAAGTCAGTGCAATCATATATATAAATATAGAAATGCCAAGTAGTGGCCTTCTTCTCTGTTCCTCTAAGTTGTTAGGGTTGTAGGCCTGAGATAAAAATGAATTCTGTTTATGGAAGGAGGGGCCAGCTATGTTACATATTAAGCTAAGGTGGACCTTATAAGCCACAATCTTGCCCTCTAGCATGTGTCAAGACACCTGAGTGACACTATCTATGTCTGCCACCCTGAACTGCCACTACCTCTGTGTAGTCTAATGTAGTAAACCTCAAAAGATTAAAACATTTACAGCTGTCAGTCAAGACACTGCTATTAACATTCTGCTGAAATCCTGTTTCTACCATCTTATGATTTTACAACATAACAGAATAGCTGCTGCACAGAACCTTGCAAGAACCATCCAAGTTCAAGGATAGAATCATCAATGATGTTTACATAATTTGTTTCCCTGGTGAAGGGTAGGGGTTAGGAGGAACTTTAACAATTCTATCTGTCCTCAGGAATGGAAGCAGTTATCAAGACATCAGAGTAACAGAAATAAAGGAAGCTTAGTGCGCAGAAGTGGGTGGAGCTGGCTAGAAGGGTGTGTGTCCTCACTGGTCCTGATGGCTGCCTTGGTCCCAGTCTGGCCTCTAGCTAGTATCTGCTGACTCGGCAGAGGCTCCATAGCACAAGGGGGCACAGTTTTTCTCATCCCATCCAATCCTAATCCCTGAAGATGGCAATACATAATATGCCCACTTGCAAAACAAATTTCAAGAACAAACTTATGAATCATTATTTAAGTAGGGAGACCCTCGCAGCTTCTTCACTTCTTAGTCAGTCATGACTCAAAAGAAAATGTCTGCCCAGCAGGGATTCTCCAAGAAAGGTCCAATGTCAACCACTATGGCTATAATAATGTATCTGTTTTTTAATTAATAAAGAAAAACACCAATGGTTGCTTTTCCCTGTGATGTCATTACTATCTTACAGTACTATTATGAATGATTTTTAGGGGAGGGAATTGAGGAGACACTGGAAAAGATACAAAAATGTATTCAGTTAGGATAAAAAAATTCCAGAAATCAATGGTACAACATGGAGGCAATAGCTAATAATAAATGTACACTTGCAAGTTACTGAGAGTAGATTTTAGGCATCTGTACTACAAAAAATGGTATTTGAGGCAATACATGTGAATCAGCTTGATTTAGCCATTTTACAATGTATACATATTTTAAGACATCAAGTTGTATATCATAAAAATAGATGATTTTTATTTTTCAATTAAAAAAGTGATTTTGAATGTCACCTTACATGACCTGGATTTCTCAGGGCATTACTTATGCAGACAAGCTAAGACATAGTGTAAATAACCTATTAACTTAGTTTGAATTTCTATATGATGACTCAGATATACCACCCATGAGTCAACCTTTATCTCTCCATGCCTCCTATCCATTTCCTCTTATGTAAGTTTTATACCTATGGTCTAGGAAATTCTGCATTAATCAGAAGTGTTAACTGAGAGAGAAGAGAGGTAGAAGGATCTTCATTGACTGGAGACCATCTAAACTCTGATCTTAAAAAGAGAGAAAGATAAATGAGAGATAATTCAATGAAGTCTGTTGTGACATAAACCAGTTTTGAGTAAGTGATTATCTGCAATTTATAAGCTGGCCTGTGGCTGACCCTGATCATGTCTTTTTTGTAGTCCCTGAGCTAGGTATGAATTTCTTTAAGTAGTTACAGGCAAACAAACAAACAAAAGAATATTTTGTGCCCATGAAAACTGTATACTCCAGAGTCAATTAGTAAAATTTACTGAAGCATAGCCATATTTGTTTGTTCATGCAGTGTCGATGGCTGCTTTGTACTACAAAGGCACAGATGAATGACTGTGACCAAGACTACACGACCCACTAAGCCTGCCAACCTATGACTACAAGTGTTATTCTTTGCTAGGCGGAGTGTTCAAAACATGCAGATTCACTGCAAATTAACTCTGTTTTAGGTAAGAACCACTAAGGGAAAAAGCTTATTTTTACCCAATCATCTAAGTCTCTAATTGCCCCTGTGGAGAAAATCCTTGGTGGATACAGGTTACAATACCTCAGAGAAGACATTACAAAACTCACCTGGTCACTGGGCTCAAAGCTCATCTCTTCCTTCTCAGTTTTCATAGCTATTAGTTTTGTGTTACTGGCAGGGTCTGTCTTACTGTCCATCCGCTCAAGTTTGGGGGTTATTTCTGGTAAACCAATATCTTTAGTATCATCTTTATCTAGCAAATAGCGAAGTAGTGCATTCTCTTTCTTCTTGGGGCTCACTGGCTCTTGTTTAATAGTCACTTCTGATCCAGGAGCTGTGCTGCTGGACTCCTGGCTCAGCTCTTTGCCTGTAGCTTCTGCTGTTAGCTTGGCCAAGTCCACAGGGGAACTGCTGTCCTGCAAGAGTCTGTGCAAAATTTTATGCTTCTCCTTGAGTGAGGTCCCATGTGTGGAGCCAGGCCCAGGCAAGCTACCTGTGGAGTCCTTGTTTGTGTCTGACAAAGAGCTGGGCAACGGTGAAGGCTCCATCTGGTCAGACTTGGTGGTCAGCAGCTGCAAGAGTTTGGTCTGCCCTTTGCTATCATGCAGTCGATTCTGTCCCTCAGCTCTCTCTCCACTTGTGGCCTGGGGCATGCTGGAATCATTTGTTTCCTTTTGCTCTCCAGGATGGCAGCTGTTCTCCACTTGTCCAGTTGTACCTTCTGATGGCTCCCCATAAAGTCCAAAACAGTCTTTGGAGTCCAAACTTCCCATCTTGCTGAGTGGGGGAGGATTTATATTAACTGGGGAGTTTTGCAAATTGCCCATTTTTAGGTCCGGTGAAGCCAACGATGACCCCAATGAGACCCCGTGCCCCTCACTAAGGGCCTGAAGTGCATTGAGAGAACTGTTGGTATAACTATGGCTATTTCCTGTGCTGCTGCAAACTCCCACCGGGGAATGCAGGCTTCCTGCAGGGGAAAATTGACTAGGCGGGATGCGAGGACTGCCAGCCACGCCGGGGCTCATGCGATGCCTTGGTGAAAGCATGGAGGTGGGCTGCCCTGGATTCATGCCAGGGCTGCCTTGCGAGGGACTGTTCATTTTGAGTGCATAGTTACTACCCTGAGGAGTGGTTGCTTGCATGCCTGACACATGGTTCATTCCCCCAGAACCACCAAATCTGCCCATGGGCATGCCCATTTGTTCCTTTGGGCCATTTATGGGAAAATTTATATTGCTATTGAGGGTCATGTCCTGACCTGGGTTCCCACTGCACATGGCCTGATGGGCAGGGCTGCTAGAGCTAATTGGATTCAATGGCTTCCCCATCGCTGGTCCAGTAAGATCCGGATTCATCACACAGACATTCTGTTCTCTGAATAATGAAGAAAGAAACAAATATAAGATAAATGGAAAAACAGTTAGTTATTATTAATTTGAAAAATGAGATGGCCTCTCTTCTTTACCAGAGCAGATTACATTTAAAGGATAGACAACACTTGGGTGAAAACATCTGTAATTATGGACAAGGCTGAACATGTACAGTTTTGGACCAAGAGGGATGTATTTTAGGGAACTCATTAAGATGTCTGTGGTTTTACAGAGAGGGTGTGTTTAAATCTGACTACTACCTTACTGAAATTGCAGTTAGTATATAGGACATAAGAGAGGTTCCAATTATATAATATATCCTCCTCCTCATGAGTAAATGACAACTTGTGATGTCATAAAGAAAGGACCCAAACCAAGTATAGCTGCCTTCAATTATTTGCAAGAAATTACAACGCCTAATAATGGACACACATGTTGGATCCTCAAGGGGTCTGATACATACTATTTGGCTCAAGAGAGACAGCAAATTTAGGGGGAAAAAACTTACCCCTAGCTGTCAGAGAAACTGGTTTCTCTGAGCCAACATTAACTTATGTTTGGAATTAGACCACTTTGTCTAACAGCTTTCCACTCACCTCCCTAAGCCCCTGCAAGTCAGAGCAAGAGCCTGAGAGACCACATGGTAGAGACTTTGGAGAGAATGTACTTTGTAATTTAATTCCCCTATTCTTGGGCTATCCCAGTCCATCCCCTTAACTGATGACTAAAAGAAGATTTTTGAGCAAGATGATTTCCCAAGCCCCATGAGATTTCATTTTCAGCCTTGGCAGTCACTTCTGAGTTACCAAACATGTTCACAAATCCAAACAAAGCAGTTTTCACAAATTGTCAAACATCAGCCTTCGTTAGGTGGGTGAAATCTGCCACATCTGTAATCACTTGCAAATTGTTTCAGTTTGAGGTCAGATTTATTAATAGTTTGCAAACAGGACTGCTAATTTTTTTTATTCCTACATTAAAAAGTAAATAATTAAGAAATGTAATAAAATGGGACCAAAGTAACTTCTGGTAATATCTCATAAAGTTCCATTTAACATATACCTAAATATTTAATTGAAAATGTAGTCATTTTCCTAAGTGTATGTTCTTTATACAATATGGTTTATGATATTTACTTCTAAAATCAATCTTTCCTTCATCACAGACGTATTTATCACCATTCAATTTAAACTCTAATGTCAAGAAGTTAATTTAAATTCAAGAATGAAAATCTAAAATATTTTAAGAATATACATTTGAGAGTTTTAGATTTCAGCACACAAGATTAGAAATTATTAAGCACTAGCTTCAATATTCTTGCTCTTGCTTATGTTGCCACTGGGAATTTTTCTACTTCAGTATAAAGAGAGGTCATGTCAAAAGTTAGTACTATCTGTGTTCTTCTAGCCAGGCCTTAAAATTCAAAGGATGGCTCTACTTTACTAATATGATGTGCTGGTTTTTAGCCAACAGTTAACAACAACTTTAGTTTTATATTTTATATTACCAGGACTGATGAACAGAAATGTCTAGCAAAGCTCTAGAATCATTTGTTGCTTTTGTAACTTGGGAAGGGAAAATGAGTTCTTAGAAGTAGGATTACCTGTGAAGCATATGTAAAGATATTACAAGCTGAGGCTCATTAGTAGTCTGAGAACGGATGAGTTTGCTCTTCGTTTGTGCTGCAACAAGAGTGCCATCGGACAAGGAAAAACGATAGATTTGACTAAATGCCAATCCTTGTCTTAGTACTGCAGGCAAACAAGGAAACAGAATGCATGTTTAGAGCAAAAAAAAAAAAAAAAGAAAAAGAAAAAAACAGTGTTGGGGTGGGATTAGACATTATAGCAATAATCTTGTTTCATGATATTTTCCTACCAGTATGTTAAAAACAGTTATAAGTAATACATCATGATATTAAAATGTTGTAAAATTTTAAAAGCACATTTACTTTTCACTCAAAACACCAATAAGCCTAGCAGATTATTTTTCTTACAAAAACGAATTAACAGTTTGAATCTTCAGTGTTCTTTCTCAAATCTTTAGTACCAGGGTAAACAGAGTGTAAATGTTTTCTCAGGTCAAAAGAAGCTTTTCAATGATTTGTTTAAAATGTTAGAAAACAGTACAACCCCAAAACGTAGTATCTCTAATGGGTACAATTGGCTTTTGATTTTCTTTGCAACATAAGTATTAAAATGAAATTCATGGCATTAAATGTGTTTTCTGAATATTCATCTGGAAATGACAAATGTTTAATCTATTATCTAATGCTACTTTTCCTCAATTTTCATTGTTAGGACAGCAGGAATAAAAGTAAATAATTGGAAGGCTCTTTGCAGAGGAAAAAAGGCCAAACAAAACTGAAACAATAAAAGTGCAAATCTTAGTGACTTATAATTGGTTTATTTGAACTTTTAGATAAAAATCAGACACTTCCATTTTCAAACAATTCACAAAATATAACACAAAGCAATTAGGTTATTATATTTCTTTTAAAACAATCTTGAGATTCATCTTTTCAAACAACTGTGTTTCATAACTAGTACTTCATATAAAAATATTTTAATTCAGAAACAAATAGCCATATAATTCAGTTAACTCAAACAATTTTAAGAAGACTACTGTTTTTTCTAACACATAATCCTCAGTACAAATTTTGTGGGTTGAATAGCTAGCCCCAAGGTAACCAAGCACATTTGCCATGCCACAGAATTGCCATAAGTGAATGAGAGAGAGAGAGTGTATGTGTGGTTTGACATGCAATGTGAATGATCATTTCTTCATTTTTTGTTAAAATTTCATTTTGCACAATTTGCCAAATGATTCCCCCCTGCCTACAGTTTTAGTTAGATACAGCATTTAGACACTGCTATCTATTCTTGCATGAAGTCACTCTAAAATGGCAGCATTGGAAATGAAATACCTTACATATGTATATCTTGTTTTGGTCAATATGTGCCTAAAGGTAACATAGATATAATTTTTATAATAGGACTCACATTCCCAGTGACTTAGAATTTCCAAATTTTATGTGACTTTGGCTATGATCCTTAATGACTTTCCATTTCCATTTCATCTACATCCAACATCTCTGCTAAGTAGATATGTGTAAACATGGACCTGAATCATTCAGAAGCTCCCCCACAGAAATAAAGTCTTCCAGCAGATTTCTATTCAGTACAGATGAAAATCCCTGGTGTTATCTATTTCATAAGTATGACTCTCTATATGAGGTTTCCTTCTAGTGGGTCTCATCCATTTAAATTTAGCATAGTGCCTGGCACATCTGTGTAAATCCTCTTACAAGGAACCTGGAAGCTATGGAATTATGTGGGGTGCTGCTATTTAGGACCTAGGGATAGGTCATGGTGATTTCTTAAGTTTCTGTTATCCTTTATTTCAAGTCATATCTAGTGAAATGGTAAGTTAAATATGATTTCTGTCAAACACAGCATCTGTATTTCCTCTTATTCTTTTCAACTTAAAGAAAAATGCTGGAAGGCACAAATTGTGTTATTTGCTTAATTTCTAAGAAATAAAGATGAATAAAATGAGGAAAACATAAGTTAATCAAGAGAGTGTTTTTTCATTAAGTGATCTAAAATGCATAAAGTTTAAACACACAAATCCTACTAGTACAGTGAAAAGGTCACAGATGTACATTAAATGGGGGACCAAACTAAACTTCTATTTTCAACAGCTAGTAACAATTTTTTTTTCTGCAAAGACTCAGACAACTGTCCACACTGAGTTTTGAGGTGCATTGTTCTGCATGAGTCCTTCACATGCTGCCCAACCACACCCTGCCAGGGCATGGACAGAAGCAGAGTTGTTGTCCTTCCCGCACTAGTGCTTATTAAAGCAAAAAGATTCTTCCCCCCGTCCCACCCTCTGTTCTTACCTTTAAAAAAATGACCAAAATGCATCTGAGAAAAAGTAACTCTGGAAAAGTTTTTGGGAGTAACATGGCAGTGACCAGTAGGACAGGCTCAGGGGACATCTGAGCTAACAATGACTGAAAGTTCGAGAGCTGCTGCACATTTACAGAGGGACTGTCGGGGTGCCCACCTGAAAGGCTTGCCCTGAGGGTCAATATGATGGTGATGCAAAGAAAAGACAAAGCCATACAAACACCAGGTTCTCACTAAATGCTGAATTTTTACTGAAAGACAACTTTGAAGTCTTGGGTTTAATTCTAGCTGTCCTATTAAGCCAGGAATCTGTTATTCAAGACAAGTCACTTCATCTCTTTGGACTTCTGGAAACATCTTGAGTCTCTGTTGGCCATCATCACGAAGAATCCCATTGTTCTCTCTACCAGGGATTCACTCACTCTAGCAAATTGCATTCATTCCTCTTTCCAGATTTCCCTTATCAATTTTAGACATTTTTAAAAAAAGATTGGATGGTGCCTTGTTATCTTCTCACACATCTAGAAGCCTTACAAGCAACTTCTTCCCCTCTCCTTCTGTTCATTTTTGTCACATTATCATTTCCTGCTCTGTATTCTTGGGCAGCATATGGGCAAATGACACTAGCACAGGCAGGAACAGGGCCACCAGCTCTCTCTTCAGGATGCACTGTTTGAGAAACCACTCTCATGGGAAGCAAATGTTTAAGTAATGTTCCCTTCAAGAAAAGTATCACTCAAAGAAGCTTACCTTCATGATGATGCCTTTTAGCATAGGATACAGATTCCCCTTCATGCTGTGCATGGAACTTCTGAATGCACCGTCTCACCAGATCCTCCCAGCCTGGTTTCATGGCTGCTCTCATGGTACTAGTATCCAGAGAAGTGATCTTGCCTATGAGATAACAGCAGGCATTATACCCACATACACCTCTATTCTTTATGGAAACTGATTGTGAGACCCCTGGGGATATCAAAACCCATGGATGTATAGATTCCTTCTATAAAATGGCACAGCATTTGCATATAACATATGCGCATCTTCCCATATACTTCAAATCACCTCTAGATTACTTCCTAGTATAATTTTAATGCCATGTAAAAAAGCTGTTATACTGTATTGTTTAGGGAATAATGGCAATCTTTTTTTTCTTGAATATTTTTGATCCATGTTTGGTGGAATCCCCAGATGTGGAATCTGCAGATATGAAAACCAGCTATATTTAGATAGGTAGTAGACATGTATCCAAAGGGTATACAGTGAAAACAAGTCTCTCTCCCTCTCTCTGGTCTTCTAGCTCATCAGTACTTCTTACCCCAGTAGCTTCTTGAGAGTCTTCTAAATGTATTCCTTGTATTCCAAAATATCTAACTATTCTGAAATTATTTCTTTGGTCTTCTCTGGAAAGAAAATTTACCTTGGAGATCCTGGCGAGTAGTAAAACTTTCTGATGAGGGAAGAACTGGTCTTTCCTTCATGGGGACTCTTCTTGCCACACATATCAAGCAGGACTGCAAATCTTAAATCATATAAGTCTATGTTTAGCATATTGGTTTTTTAAAGTGATCAAATGTTTACGACATAGCCTCAAAAATCAGTGAGAGAGAGAATGAGAAAACAGTATGTACCTTGGCTTCTCAATGGCTTTGTTCTCTCTTCAACTAAAGTGAGAAGCAGCTGAAGTAGAGGTAGAGTATACTGTGTAGGATGAGCTGAGAGCAGTGGATAAACTGTTGAAGCCATATAGCACATGTGATGGAGGTATGTTCACTGTAGTATGGAGTTAACAACTAGAAACTATCTCCCCAGTAAGGAAAAGGATGGAGGTCCTTTCTTCATTAAATGGCTGAGAGTAATAATCAGCTCAATTTATAATAAAGTATAAAATGATAAAAACTAAAATCTGATACTTTGTTTTGTCAAGGATTTGCCTCCTAAGTTTTAAGTTCACTACAACACAGGAAAACTAGATATACTTTCTACCAAGCAATGCAGGTACCCTAAAATGGCAATAAGAAATTTAACAAAAAATATAAATGGCATATGGATGCAGATTCAGACAACAAACCCCACAGTACCTAGAAAATGCAGTATGCACCAAAATTGCCACATTACAGTTTAGAATTTTGGCCATGGTTATTTTCTCACACCACCCATTCTAAGCATTTATTCTTCCTTCCCCTCAATTGCTTTATTCATTGGGGTTCACTTCTAGAGAACAGGAAAATGTTCTATCTATAGCATGAAGAGCATATGCATACCCCATTCAAATTAGAAAAGGCTGGACAAAAGGCTATTACAAAGAATAAAGCTGTCTCTGTATTTTCTTATGTCACTGACTGATAATTGATCACTTTCAAACTTTGGAAGGGTTTCTTGAAATATATCCAATAATAGCTGGTATCTTAAAATTAAAATGTAATCATCATTGGGGCTCGAGGCATGGCTTAATGGTAGAATCCATGCTTAGTATATTCAAGGCCCTGGGTTTGATTACCACCACACACACACACACACACACACACACACACACACACACACACACACACACAAAATCATCATAAAAGCCAAAGTTTTGAGCATTTAATATGAGATAAGCACCTTTCTCACTGCTTTACAGGTTATCAACTCATTTAATCCTCTTACCAATTCTGAGGCACTTAACAGAGGGAAAAACCAAAGTGCAATTTTTAAGAAACTTGCCCAATACCACACCAGTTCTGGTGAAGCCAGGATTAAAATCTGAGCACACCATGGCTCAGAAGTTCTGCTTTGAGCTGGGGGTGTAACTCTGTGGCAGAGTGCCTGCTTAGTGAATATAAGGCCCTGAGTTTGATCTTCAGTACCAAAACCCAAAAAAACAACAAAAAAAGAAACTATGCTGTTCAATTAACAGCACAGCATCTGATTTTAAATGCATAAAAATGTTTGAAGCACAATCTGAAGCTAATAAATTAGCTCAGCTGTACCTTTTTAGAATATTTTCATGGATAACTAGCAGCACTTTCTTTTTTTATAGACAGGTCTAGCCAATACATAATGATGTAGCCCATGTTTGGTTAAAACTCACCATCCTTCTGCCTCAGCCTCCCAAGTGCTGGGATTATAGATGTGAAATACCATACCCAGTTAGTGTATTTACTCTTGTTGTATAGTATAGCATAAAACTGCTTGATCTTCCATACCTCTATCATCTGTAACAGTTCTCCATAGTTCTTTACAATAAAACTTAAAACTAAAATATTAAAATTTAAAATATGTACACATTTAAATAAGAAATATTAAATAGTACTCAATGGCAACAATGATTCAGCCATATTCATTTAAATATTTTACATTCTTTTTTTGTGGTGCTAGGAATTTAATTCAGGGTCTCACATGTGGTAGGCAAGCACTCTAACTTATTACATTCTGATACTGGTATTAGTGATTGCAGATGATGATAAATTGATGCTCAGAGAGGTGAAGGAACTTGCCCACAGTTACAGAGCTGGTAAGTGGCTGAATTTGAAGCTGGCCTATCTGAATACATTGTCTTAGATGTCTCCCTTCACGGTGGTCATCAGCTCTTTCCCTTCTGCTATACATCCAGAATGCATTCTTCAACACTGTTCTTTACCACAGACAGTGACAATCAGCTCACTGGAATGGCTTGCTTGGAGGGGATGGTGGCACAGGGGAACACTACATCAGCATCTCTTTATGGGAATAGCCCAGTGAGTTTATATAGTCTGAAACCCTTCCATTCCCCACTCCTATCTCTTTTATTACACCATGCTATAGACCCAACATCCACATATAAGTGATATGGATTCCATTAATTCCCTGAAAGTCCACAAAAGATGCTGTTTGTACCTGTGTGCATTTTTTAAGTGTTTGTGGCACAATGGAACCCAGGATCCCCAAAATGTTTAGTCACCATTACAGCTAAATGGTACAACAGTCACTAGTCACATGTGGCTGTTTAAATGTTCACAACAGCAGGCAGCTACATACATAAAGGAGCACAGTGCCTACCTCATTTTTTTTTTTTTTTGGGTGGGATTGGGGTTTGAACTCAGGGCTTTGTGCTTGCAAAGCAGGTGCTCTACCACTTGAGCCACATCTCCAGTCCATGGCTGTTTAAATGTAAATTTAATAGAAAAAGAATGCAGACCCTGGTAACACTATTGCAATTTCAAGTGCTCAAGAGTTACATGTGGATCACGGCTGCTGTGCTGGATACTGAAGCTGTGTCACGTTCATCACTGCAGAACATCCTATTGGATAGCAGTGTTCTATAGACTTAAAAACTGAATTTATCACAAAAAAAAGAGTAAAGACTGAAAAGAGTCAAGAAATTGCTTCTCCACTTTTCTGGTATGTAACCATTAGTTTTAGATTATTAAGGGTGAAAGAAGGAATACATACAAAGACATGTAGGATCCTAGAGGTCTGGCCTACCTTCTCCTTCTTCTTTGATGGACTTTGGTTGCGAGACAGCAAAGCACTGCATAGTTTCATATTTCTGATGCGCTTCCTGGTTATCATGACCTTCCTCTTCATTATCAGGTAAAGGTTTTACCAGCATCCGACAGTTGAAGGTATGGCTGTTCCGCCTAGGAGGTTCACCAGACCAGGATCCCCCATTCACTGACAAGACAAAAGTAATCCAGTATTAGAAGGAAACCAACCCCAGGTGCTGAGACTTTTCTAAACAGTTAAATAATACAGAGGTAAAACAATTCTTTTTTTATTTTGGTAGGACTGGGGTTTGCACTCAGGGCCTCACGCTTGCTAGGCAGGTGCTCTTACTGCTTGAACTACTCTATCAGTCCAGAAAACAATCCTTGAGTCAACATTTTAACAACTTGGGAACATCCTTGGGATTTTCAAAATATCTCTACACTCCTTACTCTTTACCTTGCTGCTTCCCTTCAAGTTCATGCCTTGATTACCTATTACTAGAATACCACAGTTTCTTTTTTTTTTCCTATCTTTGATTTTTTGGAAACTTAGTTCAATTTACTTGGATTCAAATTTTACATGGCTCATCCCCTACTCAAAACACTGTAAATGGTACTAACTGTCACATATGTCAAACTTTTTCAAAGGATTTGGACTTCTTGCAGTCAGGAGTATGGAGACCATATCAACACATAAATCAATTAATTTGTTAGCCTATCTCACCCATCTAACCAGATCTTGTACATTCCCCAGCTTAAGTCTCCCCATATTCCACCATACTCAGTCCCATATGAATTTTCCTGCTCCTGCTGCTACCCCACCTAAAACACCAGATTGTCTCTAACTCTTCCTCCAAAGGTACTCATGCTCTAAGACCCTCTATAATAAACACTTCACCAACTACTCAGGCACCCACACTGCCTCCTCTACAGATCTTCTGAAATTGGCTGCTTTTAAATTACTCCCATCACAGCCTCTCTTAACTGTTCCATACATATTTTCTCAATAAGATTGAAACGTCCTTGAAAACACAATGCTAATGTCATTTATTTCTTTCTAAGTGAAAAACTACTTCGACACCTTTTATTTTAGTATTAAAACTAAAAAGTGAACATATTATTTAAGACACAGAGACTGAACTAAAGGAAGGAAGTCACTGCCCTTGTCAGAGAACACTAAGGATAGTAGGTGCTATGGTAAAGTGAATGCTAAACCTCTGGCCTCGAGGCTGCAGAGGAATGAAAAAGGAAAGAAGCTCTGGACAGAAAGAAGTGAATGTCCAGTTGACTATACCACATTATTTAAAAATTATAGAAGGGACTATAGCTAGCTTTATGTGTCTTCACAGAAATTGGAAAGTTTATTTCTCTATTAGCACTTGTAAAAGCTTATTCAGATAATGGAAACTATACAGAGCAATCAAAGAGGGAAGGAAAAGAAAGACTTCTTAGTAATTCAGGTTAATAAGGATGTTGAAAGTTAAAAAAGGGTATAATATAAAGTAAGGCAAAGAGCTCTTTGGACAAGTGAATTAGTAAGTGTAGGCCCTTTGAGGAAGCCATGAAATTACTGAAGAGATTTGAAAATCTAAGTTACTTGAAGTAAGAAATCCATTTTCATATTCATTTATTAGTGAATATAATAAAGGAATCCCATCCAAGAATTCCTACATTTTGTATTACTGTTGCAGTCACTTTGAACAGAGTTACCCTATGAAGAAAAAGCTAGCCATAATGGAAGCTGAAGAGGATCTTTTCTAATTTACTATGCTAACAATAAGACCTGCTAATAGAAACAGTTTTAAGAAAAAGAACAGAAAAACTTGCCAATTCAGGACCTGACCTTATTCTGCACTAAAATATGTACTTCTTTTTATCTGTGAAGATGTTCTTAGCATCATTGGCTTAAGCGAGAGTATTAAAAAAAGAACCACTAAGTAAGTGGGAACAGCAAAGCTCTGAGGCAGCAACTAAGGAGGGCCCACACTGTGAACACCCTGTTGAAGAAAGTGGCCCTGAATCACCACAAGCACTTGTAGGCAGCATCTCCAAAGTAAGTTGAAAAAGTCAGGAAATTTGAGACAGGGTCAGTGGGCTATAGTGGCAGTGCATGAGGACGACACCCCCAGACCTGTTTAGGTCTGAAATGAAAGACCCCAGTGGGGTTGTGGGGCTGATATGCTTGAACCTCTCTCTCTATTACTTGTTCCTTAGGGTTTTATCTTTTGAATGCCATATACATATACATACACATCATATTCTTTCATGAGTAGGACTCAAAATAAGCTGAATCTCAAACTTTTCGTGACCTACTTTTCAGATGGTCATGAAGAAAATGGACGAATCTAAGTTGGCTGGCATTTGGGCAGGGTAAGGTAATTTACCTTCTTTAAAAAAAAAAAAACAGTAAGAACAAACCTTGAAAATAGCTGCCGTGAGTACTTTCCATCTGAATCATTTCGTGTACTTTATAGGATCAAAACGATTATTCATTTAAGATCAGTATCTGAGTATGTCCTTCTCTCTGCAACTTTTAATCTTAAATATTTAAGTGCTTCTAAAAACTACTCAGTCACTCTTATCCCTAACGACATAATACAGTTCTAGTTTACTCATTCTAACAAAAACAATGTGTGTGAAAAGGGTAGGGCAGAAGAGGGAGAGGCCCAGCAGATAGTCATTTACCTATAGACTTTGGCAGTAGGTTTTTGACAAATTCAGTGTGGTCCCCAACATGCAGGATGCTATATACACTTTTGTTCATCAGCTCTTCTTGGTTATACCTTAGATACTGTGTCACATTCTCTGAAACAAACACCACATTGCCTTCCAGGTTCACTACAAAGAAGAACCCATCGAGGGCCTATGGGAAAAGACAAATTGTGTTAGAAGGGATGTAACATTTTAAAATTATATACAATTTTTAAGAAGGGAGGGATCTCTTCAAAGGGAATGATTCACATGTAGATGGAAAAGAGATCTCCTTTACCCCTCTCCTAGTTTTCAGAAACAAATAATACATTTTCTCTTGGGAAATAGAAATTATTCCATCTTAGTCAATGGGAGAGAGTCTAGATTAGGGTTTTCTGTCACAAACCAAATGTTAAATACTAACTCTGTTAACTTATCAGGAGATAACTATTACTAAATAAAAATGAGCAGGCATTTATCTATATTTTCAAAATGAGACTGAAGTACTCTATAGATTCACACACAACTTTCATGTTGTCAACCCAACACAGTCATTTTGTTCCACAGTTTTTCATACAATGGGCAGAAGGGGTCAATGATAATTTCTTTCTCACATGAAAAATAATTATCAAGGAAAGCTCCCCAAATGTTATTATTGTTAAAGTTGCCAGAGCTTAAGTGAAAAGAATCACAGATGGTCTCAGACTTGAAAGTAACATCAGTCCTTTACTGTTTGGTGTATGGGAAGATTTTGGGCAGGGTCTCTGACATGGCAAATCCTGTTTGTGCTCGTTGTCCAGATTAAAATGTGGGTTCCTAAGTTAGCTAAACATCAGTAGCATGCTTCCTATAATGGGTCAGAGTCTCATTCTTTATGTTGCCTCGCTCTAGCAGGCACTCTACCACTTGAGCCACTCCACCAGCCCATGTTGACTCAATCTAGATTAGGGAAAGACATGAAGAATCTAAGATCATTTCAGAAAGTAAAGATAATATAGTTACTGGGAATATTAATGTACCTTACACATAATTGTCATTGTAATATTTACAACTCTTGAAGGAATGTTTTGCCTTTCTCAATTTGCAGAAGGGGAAATTGAGGCTCAATGAAGCAACTGAGTTTCTTTTCTTTTTTTTTTGGCAGTATTGGGGTTTGAACTCAGGGCCTCATGCTTACTAGGCAGGTGTTCTATTGCTAACTCCAGATGGACCTGACTCTAAAGCTTATGCTTTCAGGTATCAGGCAGCAGGGCACTCTCTCCTCCACTATGGATTCCTAGACCATTTCCCCATTACATGTGCATTGGCAACAAAAGGCTGGGGGCTCAAGTGAGTTTCTTCTACTTACATTAACTCCTGCTTTTTATATTATTTTATTTCTGTGTGTACCTGAATTTTATTTAAATTTTTTATTAACTCGTCAAGGAAAGTGGGAAAAAAGTAAGTAAAGTGAAACAAGCAAGTCTGTTTGAGGAAGTCCTGACAGAAATCAGGAATAAATCTTATTTTAATTAACAATTACATTTTTAAGATTAATTGGATGAAATGGCTGTTATCAAAAAGTCCGAAGAAAATAATAAAAAAAAATATCCAAACATTACAATGATGTAACTTACAAAGGTGTAACTCCGCTTTTTATTTTTATTTATTCATTTTTTATGGTACTTGGGATTGAACTCAGGGCCTCATGCATGCAAAGCAAACACTAAACCACTGAGCTATATCCCCAGCTCCAACTGCTTTTTAAAAGTACAGCCTCTTTTGACCCTTGTTTATCAGAGCTCTGTTTTATGGGTCAGGTAAATGATCAGGACTAGAAAAGGCTTGAGAATGTGTACTACTCACCTAACAGTGGATGGGGCCTAAAGTGTTTATTTTTTCCCTAGTTTGTTTTTTCCTTGAGTTATTTAACAGGCTTCTCAGTCTAGAACTGGCCAGTGCAAAGCTCCTTCTTTATATATTTTTTTCTTTTTTGGTGGTACTAGAGTTTGAACTCAGTATCTTGCATTTGTTAGGCAAATGATTTACTACTTAAGCCAAGTCCCCAACCCAAGGAGCTCTCTTTTTAAAGTTTTTCTTAAATATTCTATCAGGCTCTCTCAATGGTATAAGCTATGTACAGGCCAAAGCAAGACTATACATAATGATAAATAATCTTCCATAGTAGGCTGGCACTAAGCCTGGAGAACTGTGTACAAGTGAGTGCACTGTTGGAGGGGACAGGAAGTAGTCACATGATTAGCTATGTAGCTAGTATCCCTCCTAAACTCACTGCTTCAGCTACACTTCAGTAGGAGTTTTCATAATTATATTACCTATCAATCACTTTGAAAGTGCATGTTCCTTCCTACTGCTTTGTACCATGGTGAAAAGACTGATTTGTGGCCTAATAAAACTGAAAGATGAAAGTGGTTCTTCTCATAAAATTGTATTTTTTTTAAAAGCTCACTATGATATACTCTGATGAAAAAAGCTGACATTTGGTTCTGTTGCCTAGCAACCACTATGCTATGATGTAAGCATGAGTGTGCATCTATGTCTCTGAACAGCTCCATGGAACATGTTTTCTGTTTAAACAATTACATGCAAACAGGAATACAGATTTAAATTCAAACCGTAAGTCCCTAGATTCAAGCATTACCTCTCTAATATATTTAGCACTGATGTCCTTCAACATTCACTGTGCACTGAATTCTCAGAGTATTCTGAAACAGCAAAAATGTTGTTCTAATTTTATGAGAATCAGATCCACTGATAATCCGATTTCTACAATTAATGAACTTGCACTCAAATGGTTTGAGTTGCAGCCTGTGGTTATTCTAAGCTTTTGTTTTTAGAGGTCTTAAAAGTCTTCCCAGGAGTTTCCAATGTAATTCTCCCCATCCCTAGACATAATGAATAAATACAGATAGGTGGAAATTTCCCAACTGTAATAATTTAGAGCACCATAGTTTTCAAATGAATTTTCTATTTGTAATTCAAAAAGTTTTTCCAAAGAATATTTCTTTCATGTAATTCTAAACAGTCCACCTACTTACAGTTTTCATTATCTGCTTCTAAGAACGAAGTACAAGTGGCACTCTCTGGCCTTCCACTGCCCAGATGAGTATGGAAAAATCAAGTTAAATGTACTTCTGTTTTCTCCCTGGAAATTGTGGTTGAATGTTTCAAGCCACTAATTCAAGAGAAGATAAGCAAAGCCCAACACAGGTTCATTTAAAGCCTTTTGGCCAGCAGATCCCGCCTCAGGAAATGAATTTTGTTATTTCTAAGTACAAAGACTGGGTCAGATGATCTTTAATCTCTCCCACCCCCAATTATACAGATTTTCAACAAACAAACAACAAAGTCATATGCAGCAAGTGAAAAAAGAGGCAGTGAAGCCGAGAATGTACTGGCTAATTTTGTTTTAAAAATCTTAATTTTTTATATATGTGTAGCTACAGCAGCAACAGAACTGATTCTATAATGACATTGCTGCAGTTTCTGGTCATGCAGTGCTGTTCAAACTTAGTATACAATCAGCAGAGTAAATTATCCTGAGAGCTGACATCATTTATGTCTTGGGTTCCTCTGTTACTTGTTATATATCTACTGGCATTTTTTTCTCTCATCTTACTAAGCACTTGGTATTAATAAAATAGGAAAGTTGGATCTTAACAAATTCTAAACTAAACAAATTCTAAACAAAAACTTACCAAAGTTAATCAGGAAGAGGTAGCTGAAAGTATTATGCTTATCTTAAAAAGTCCTTTGGCCAGTTATTCTAACTTTCATTTTTATGAGATAAATAAGCTGGTTGGAAGTAGCATACATAAAAAGCATAAACCTCCTCTTTGATTTTCAAATTTTAACCTGTTTATATAGGCATAGGTACACGGCATACATAAAACTTAAGAATTCGGGTTGAGGTATAGCTCAGTGGTAAAGCATTTGTCTAGCATGCCTGAGGCCCTGGGTTCAGTTTTCAGAACCACAAAAAATTAAATTAAAAATAAGACTCTGGGGAATATTTCAAACTAAAATATATCATAGAACTTAATAGGATTTATGAATATGGTTTTCAAAAATAAATGCTCAAGTGACAAAACCTGAGACTTTATATTTTCATCTAGTTATTTTAATTATATATTGTTAATTTCAAAATATACATATGCTGGAAGCAGAAGCCAAGACAAACATACATACATACTAGTAGGCTCAAGTCTGTAGTACCAGTGTGGATTTTCCTTAAGTTATGTTCACCTGAAATTAAATGTATTCTGTGAAGGCTGACAACATTTTAAAATACAGAACCAATGAGGGTGTCTACCTCAAGCATCATAGGCCCCAGTGCATCCTTGTCGATGACACCCTGCCCTGTAGATGACACATCTGACTTCTGTACTTCATCTATGTTGGCAGCTGCTGCTTTCTCTGCAACAAACACAAGTGTGAATTAAATGGTGGTGCTATTCAAGGGCAGAATGACACAGAAAGATTTTTATTGTAATGATTTAAAAAAATCTCTAGAGGGATCAGATGTAGCTATAAAAGAGAGTATCCCCACTGCCCCTGAACAGGGGAAATGGCTAGAAGCAGGAACCAGATATAATTTTCATCTCCAGAACCTGTAGCTCAGACCCCCTTTCAGAATGCTGAGAAAATGAGTTTAGTGGTTTCATGCTAGTCCCTGGTAGCCATTTTTTTCCCTAGATTATAAAATCTCTATATACCTTGGAACAATTAGTTTCTACTTGAGAGCTTCCCCAAACTAGGATAAAGTAGGGTCTGTTGCTCACAATTCCATAGCATTATCAGGAATATATATGCACACATCTGAAGAAAAAAAACAAGGAGTCCTGGTCCTGACCTGCTCTGCTGTGCCCACATGACAGTCTGCAGTCAGCCTTGACTCTTATTTCTCTACTCCTGTTCACACCCACATTTAAAGTGACCAGGAAGATTTGTTTCCCAATTTGTTCAAAGGTTTAAAAATTTAAAGCAGAGGGAAGAAAGAGGCATACTATCAGGTACACAGAGTATATCACCAGCTGTCCTTTGACTTAGCACAGAAGTGCATGATAGTGAGATGATTTAGTGAAAAAGCTCACAGGACAAAGAGATGCTGATTTATCAATATATGTATAAACTAGTTATTTAAAGAACACCAAAAGAAGATTAGAGCATAACAGATATATACCAACAACCTGCTAGAAAACAACACAAAACAATGTGCGATTATTTAAAACTGAATAAATTATATCCTTGTTTACACTGCATGTTAACATTTACAATAAGCCCACTTTACTAACAGATTACATGCAGTTTTGAACAAGTGCAATAAAAAATAACAGAAATTTCAAAAACAAAAATTTAAAATATTGACATACTCATTACACTGCTGTTGATTCAGAGCTCTCAGTCACTCCTGCATTATCTTCAGTTGTGTTTAAATCCTTGTGACCTGACCTTAATTTTATGAAAATATGATTCTCAAAAGCAAATGATGCCAAAAAGCAAAGTAAAAGTTGGTGTACTTAATCTGTGAAAAGTGAAAAATTTGGATTTGTTGAAAGGTGGCATGTCTTTAGTGGAAGCTGGGTGGTATTATGGGAAAAATGAATTAAGCATGTCCAGTGCAGTACTGAACTCTATGCATCCTGAGTATGCATGGTTTTTCCTCAATGGTGTCTCCGTGGAACCATACACCTGTGGGTACCATTTCCATGTTGTATACTTATCACTGGAAATGGAAGGTTGACCCGTGTAGCTCAAAGCCAAGCCCAGCCACTTAGGACAAGTATGGCTCAGCACAAGCTATTTTTAAGGCCCCAGTTTCCTTGCTTACCTCTGTTCATCACAGACTGGGTCAATAATAAATGGAATGACACTTTAAAAATTACAAAGTAGTGTGCCTGGAGGATTGTGAGTTAATGGGACCCTTCTATGATTTCTCTGTTATAAAAATTTTCAAAATACATATACTAATGTAAATCATGGTATTTCTAGACTTGATTTGAAGTTAAGTACAGATCATGGAGCTCTCATAAACACACCTTCCCTAAAATAAAACCAACAAACCATCAAACAAACATAACACCCCCCATTAAAAAAAACTACAAAGTATGCCATGTACAGTGGTATACATCTATATTCTCAGTCCTTGGGAGACTGAGACAGGAGGAACATGAGCGAGACCAATCTGGGCTACATTTTAAGACCCTGTCTCAAAAAACCCAACTCCACCCCACCCCCCCACAAGTAACATAGCACTAGCATACAGTATTTGAGGGTTTTTTTTTTATGGTGTTGGGGATCAAACCTAGGGCCTTATGCATGCCAGTTCAAGTATTCTACCACTAAGCTACATTTTCACCTTGCATTTATTTCTTCCTCACTGAGATCTATAGGTAATAATTTCTTTGCAGAACATATCACAAGCAGACTGTATTTACTTTTTTAACTACTCTACTATCTTCCTAATTTACTTTCTTAGATTCACTGTTAGGCCACTCAGCACAGGCTTTCTCTGCAGGCTTGGTCTTATCCCAATTCCTTAGCCAGTCCTCACAGGGCAGAAAGTACCTCAGCTCCCCAGCAGTAAGACACAGAGCTGCTCCAACAATACTACAGGATGCTCTTCCCTCCGTTTTCCCAGAATCTTTTCCATTGCCACACAGACTCCCCTCCCCAATCAATGTGCACTGGGGCATTTTTTTTTGACAGTTCATTCTGTAAGCTATAAATTTCTTCTCAGCTTCTTCTCCCAGTACTGGAACAGGACTTGTACCATTACCTCATTTTCAGGGAACATTTGGATCAAGAGCTGTCCTGGATTTTCCTCATGTGCCTCCACTTACACTGCTTTATGCGGAACCCTCTTGGAAGTGGACAGGACCTCTTTTTTTAATGCCCTTTCCCTTTCTTCTTTTCTGCAGTGCTGGGATGGAACCCAGAAACTTCAGCAGGCTAGGCAACTACTCTACCACTGAGCTACACCCCTGCTCTCATGTACCTTTTTTTTTTTTTTTTGGGCAGTACTGGGGTTTGAACTCAGGGCTTTGTGTTTGCCAGGCGGGTGCTCTACCATTGGACTGAGACTTCCAGCACTCTCATGCACCTCTTTTAACCACCCTACTTTATGGAGGCCCCTATACCTCAGACTGAAGGCTGTTAGAGCTTCATGAATACCAAATCTCAAAGTTTATGTACTACATATTACAGATTCCCATGGTCCTACTGCACTCTCATTTTGTTTTTGTCTTTAGTGCAGACGAACAAGATGCTGCCATCCATAGGATGGTGGTCTGCAGTCTTTCTTTTGCCTCCTCACTACATGTAAGGTACTGTTCTCCATCAGAAATACCCTTCAGCAGCAGCAGCAGCAGCAGCTATGCTCAGATTGGAATGCTGTTGTACATGAGAAGACATCTCACGAAGGGTCTGTTGGAATTTGCAGTGGAAACATGCATATGGATTGAAAGATCGTCCTTAAACGAGTGTGATACATGCCAAGGGTGTACCTCATGCTCCTGCAACCCATGAAACACACTATTCCACCAGAAGGTACACTTAATGATGGGACCACGCCTGGAGCCTCGCATAGATCCGATCTCAGAGCAGGTTTTT